GTATAGTTGAATAAGATGATTTGGGATGTTCTGTGTGATACACACACACACACACACACACACACACACACTCAAAATCAACAAATTTTTAAAAATGTATTATACTTGAGGAGGAAGCTTGGAAATTTATGCCATGCTTATTAGTAGAGGTGATAAACCTTACCATTGAAATCTACCCACTGACTTTGTAGACATACAGAGGCGCCAAGGATCCAAGTGCAACTGATTATGACTAGTAATAATCAGATACATACAGATTAGAGATGCATGCGCCAACATCTCAGTGTTAGTAGCAAAAATAATGAGTCTTCAAGGAACAATATATTCTAAAATGAAATGGAGATCTTTTTTAAAGGTTAAAACTCATTCAATTTTATGTCTTACAGGGTTTATACTGAGTTCAATATTGTATAACTGTATTAATTCAACTGTGAACCTAGAAACTTACAGCCACTTATGAAAGAGATGTACTCTTGCTCTGGAGTGTGTTACTGAATATGTTAAAGCTCTAATGAAATGCTTTTTCTAATCATGTAGTTATTAAAAGTTAAAAAAAATTAATTAAAAAAAATTCAGTGATGGGGCTGGGCATGGTGGTGCACACCTTTAATCCCAGCACTTGGGAGGCAGAGGCAGGTGGATCTTCGTGAGTTTGAGGCCAGCCTGGTCTACATAGTGAGTTCCAGGACAGCTGGGGCTGCAAGGAGACCCTGTCTCAAAAAGACAAAAAAAAAAAAAATTCAGTGATAAGACCTACAAAATGTTTGTCAAATGAAGCATTTGTGGAAATATACGTACATGTAAATATATCATTATAGATTAAACATTTCTTTTCTTTCTAGAAATTAATATTAGGTAAAAATTGCAAGTACTATCTATGTTTTATACTACAGTATAAGGCTTAGGAAAAGAAAATAGCATATTATTCTCTCATTAATATAGACTCACTATAACAAATAAATTTTTCATGTCATTTAAATCATTACTTACTAAATATGACTCACCTGCATCAGAACATTCTTGAATTCATTTAAAAGTGCCTTGTATGTTCCATCCTCCACCTGCCATATCAGAAACTTTAGGAAATGAGTAAAGAATGTATAACTTTAGAATTATAAGGACTTACTTTTCATACATGCTTAAGTTCAATTTTTTTTCTTTTCTAGGCTATAATCAATTGGAATGAGGGTCAATTTCCTTTATACAAAGGGTCTTCCATATCTGTGGTCTCCCCTGTAAGCTATTGTTGAAACACTGCTTATATATGGCACACAGTAGACAATAAGCCAGGCCAATTAAAGAGAAATTACTAAATTAGAGCATGTCAACTGTCAAGGTTTATTGTGAGTCTAATAATCTTGAAGCAGTGAATAATAACTGGCATGTAAATTAAATTATATGTTAACCACATTAGGGAAAGGTTAGCACACAGTGGATTTTCATAAGCCTATGGTGTTCTTTATAGATTGATTTAAGCATTGTCTATTTAGCGAGGATTTTGTAATGATGAGTGAGTGTTGTCATTATTCATTGAACCACATATTAATTGATGAATTTTCTTGACTCTATCTATCTGAATTACAGTAGTTGGAAAGATTTATAAAAGATAAATCTGTGTATAAAGTTTTATACATGTAACATTTAAGTAATTTAAGAACTGGATTACTATAGAGGAGTTTTGTTAAACTTCTAAAAAGGGCAAGATTTATAGAATGCACACTATGCTGAAATGCAACTGTTTTCTGAAATTTTAGGTTGTGTGTGTGGTAAATAATTTCAAAGGAAGACAACCAGAAAATGGGCACATGCACATGGACAGTGTGGCCCGGATGCCAATGATCAACATTCCTCGGGTAGAAAGCCCTTTGGAAAAGGTAACATCTGTGCAGGTGATTCATAACTCCAGTTCTAAAATGTGACTGTCGTACAGAGAAATCCAATATTTATTTCTGAATGTGTATTTAGACAGTAGCTACACCACTATTTATTTTATTTCCTTAACCCCACATTCAAAGGCAGCTTTTAGCAAGAATGTAACCACCACTGATAAGATTATCCTAGAAAAATGCATATTCATTTAAGTTACCCATAATCATCCTTCATGCTAGAAGCTGAATAGCCATGTATCCAAAATACCTTTACTTGAGAATATGTTGATTTTTCATGATATATGTTCTAGTTCTCCTTTCCTCCCTATCAGTGAGATAGTACTTCATAAACTGTCAATGCACAATCAGTGCACTGTAAACCTGTGTTGAATCTCAATGCACAAAGTTCAAACAGTATATAAATATCAGCAGTGCTTCCCAATGGAGGAGACACTGAGGTCAGGCTGGGCTGCGTGTCTAATGCAAGATAATGAATTAGACAGCAGGTCAAGGTCTCATTGGGTGTCACCATGGGCCCAGAAGTCAAGACTTCTCAAAAATTGTTCTTGGAACTTCTGTGAACCAGATATGGTAATGTGGGCATGCTCCTGTGCATTTGTACATGATTGGATTATTTTAAAGGGCTTCTAGTAGCTTCTCCCTAGCCCTGTGCCCTTCCATATTTTGGTCAGTATCTCCCATGAAGACTTCTATCACACACTAAGCAGGTCATAGACAGTGTCAATTTATGAGAAATAACTGGATGAAAGAATAAAACATTTGTGAATTAATATTAAGTTCGCTTACAAAGTACTGGGTCTCACCATGGAGTTTTTCACTATGTATTGTTATATTGAGTTTTCATTCGTTTCTCCCTGCCCTCTACCTTCTGCCTCCCACCAGCTGTTGATTTTCCTTCCCTCAGACAGCCTCCCATTCTGCCTCTTTACCACATGTACAATAAAACTTCTTATGAGGCTATCATAAGATATAACTAACAAGAGAGAAATCAAATGTTTTATATTTGAATGACTAAAAGCTCATGTTTAGGGGTAGGGTGCATTGTTATCTGCACAACTTAAGGTTGAATAAGGCACAGCTCAGCACATGTCAACAGCATGATACAGCTACTAAAATGATTTATATGATCTTCAGTCCCACTAATAAAAAATGGTATCTATAGCGAGGGAACCAGTAATTCCTTGTGCTCACCTATGGTCAGGATTCCTTGGAATACTTTGGTAACAATTTTAAGGTGCACATTGATAAAATAGTGTGCCGAGTGCTCAAAAAATATGGTTGATATCCCTTTTTTATTCTTTGAAAATTTCATACATGTATACAATGTATGCTGATCATATCCACCCCCACCACCCCGTACCTCCAACTGCCTCCAAGACCCCCCACCTATCACATCTCCCTCCCAATTTCATGTATTCCTTTTAAAATTAATTAATTAATTAATTTAATATGATTTTAAGTGTGTGAGTGTTTTGCCTGCATGTAAGGGCAGACGTGCACACAATGCCCATGAAGGTAAGAAGAGGGCTTTGGATCCCTCGGAAGTTGTTAGCTGCCATGTGGGTGCTGGGATTCAAACCTGGGTCTTCTGCAAGAACAGCCAGTGTTGTTAACTGCTGAGCCATCTCTCCAGCCCCAATTATTTATTATTTTTAAACCATTGAGTTCAGTTAGTGCTGCCCCTATGCACATGGGAGTGTAATAATCCACTGGGGTATGGGGAAACCTATCAGTGGCTACTACATAAAGAAAATTGATTCTCCCTTTTCAGGCAGCAACTGCAAATAACTCCTTATCTAGGGGTGGGGCATTGGGAGCCCCTCCCCCATCCATGCTGGAATTTTATACTGGCTTAATCTTATGCAGGGTTTATTATGTAGGTAACTGCAGATGCTGTGTAACAGCCATGCTGTATCCAGAAGACAGTATTTCACAGTTCTTGTCCCCATTCTCTGGCTTGTACTTTCTTTCTACCCCATCTTCTTTGATTCTCCCTGAGCCTTAGAGGGGACGGGGCTGATACAGATGTCTCATTTATGACTGAAAGTTCATAGTTGCTTATTCTCAGCATTTTGAACAGTAACAAGTCTCTGTATTAACTGGTACCCACTGCATTAAGAAGCTTCTGGACAAGGTTAGGAGGAACATAAACCTATGGATATCAACATCAATATTTAGAGGCATTTTGACAACATGACTGTTTAGCAAAATATCAATATGTTCTTGCCAAGGGTCTCTGACTTCCCTAGATGTGGCTTTTGACCATGTTTACAATATCAGTAAAGAATTCTCTCTTTTGGAGCAGGCATCAAATCCAATGTGGTACATATACACAATGGAATATTACTCAGCTGTAAAGAAAAATGAAATCATGAGATGTGGGGGCAAATTAATAGAACTGGAAAAAAATGATACTGAGTGAGGTCACCCAGGCGCTAAAAGACAAACACCGCATAGTCTCCCTTATATGTTCATCCTGGCTTCAAATCTTTTGTGTGTTTAACCTGGAGTACATATCTAAACTAGAAAACTAGCAACAGACCATTTGGAGGGGATGCATTTAGAGAGGAGAAATAGCAGAACACAGGTGAAATTAGAGAGGAGGAGGGGAATACCAGGCGCAAAGGGTTCAAGCAGGTGGTGGAGTGGTGGTGATGGAGAAACATGTGACCAGGGGGAGTCTTAACCAAAGGGAAGGGCACATGAAGAAGCTACTTGGAGGCTACGATCTCACAATCCAAGAAGGAAACATAAGAAGGAATAGAATAACGCATTTGATACGGAAGAATTGGAGGGATAGTGTGAGGTTTAAGTGGGGAAAGGAAAAGAGGGGTGGGGGAAGGAGAGGTAGAGGGTGGGGTAACCATAACAAAGGATGTATGAAGAAGTTTTATGAAACCTCACTAGTTTGTAAGTTAATTAAAAACATATTTTATTTTTTAAAAGGATTTTGAACCGAGGTACCCCCCCCCACATTAGTGAACAATACTGCTCAGAAGACATGGGGTATTAAATTAAAATCTCAATGCCAGGCACAGGTTAACTATCTACGGGTTATTGTTCAGGGAAGCCCTAGAGGTACTTAAAACTATACAGGCTATTGCTGTGGCCTTACCATGAGTCATTACAGTTAATACATGGATAAAATAGCCTGACATTTAACTGTAGTTATAAGAATGGGCTAAAACTCAGAGGATACCTGTTTCTCCAGCTGTCTCTTGGAACTGTGCCCTGGAACTTTGTCCTGGGGTCAAGCCTCACTCATACTTTTATTTAAAATCTTTCCTCCAGCTTCAATGTTTGGGAACCACAAACTTAGATCCAGCTTCACCTTAGCAGACCGTCTTGCCTTTCCATCCCTAGGCCTAGAACATCTCACACACACAATGTCAAATGTCATTCCCAACCTTCATTGTCTTCATTGAAGATGTGTGCTTTCAGTGCTTTGATATGTCAAGTTTCAAGTATACATACATTCATTCATTAACTTGGGGTGGAACAGCAAGTTGAGATTCCCAGAGATCAAGCTCAGGTACCTAGGTCACAAGAAAACGTGGTTTAGTGAGTTTGCTAAGGTTAATTAAAAGTCATTAGTCCAGGTTCTGTCCACTTTATAAAAGTCTCTCCTGCCGGGTGTGGTGGCGCACCCCTTTAATCCCAGCACTCGGGAGGCAGAGGCAGGTGGATCTCTGTGAGTTCAAGGCCAGCCTGGTCTACATAGTGAGTTCCAGGACAGAGACCACAAGAAAAGGTCACTCCTACATGTTGCCATTGCTCTTTGGTTTCCCCTCATAACTACAGTGCTTATTGCTTAAGGCACTTCACGTTTTGGTTGCAGGATATAGGGAAATTTATCTTGAACTAACCATGAAACTCTTAGTGCTGGCTAGCTTGAAGGTAGTATACAAGTTACTGGTGAAAAGACATGAATAATCATATTCAGAGTTGGATCCTGTACGCTACAATACGGAGGAGGCAAGAGATGCCCATTAGTGTGGTAGTGGCAAGACTGTTTATGGGGACAACCAACAGCTCTCTTGATTGGATTTGAGGCCTGATGTGCTTCTTTTTCCTGTGGCTTTGTTTTTTGAGGCAGGATTTCACTATGCATTCCAGGATGCTCTAGACTTCACTATCTAACTCTGCCTGGCCTTGAACTCATAAAATCCTCCTCCTTCAGCCTCTCATGTGCTAAGAACTACCTTGTCTGGCTTATTTGATCTGCTTTAAATAGGAATGGGTGTGTCCTGATTGGAAAGCAGATTCAAAGTCATAGATTTTGAGTGACTGTTGGAGGAACAAAAAAATGATGAGAGAAAAAGAAAACACATGAAGAATCAGTACCTTCTCACAAGTGTCTGAAGGACTATTGCATGGCAGAAGAATGAAATTTGTTCTGTAGAAATTCAGTGATCAGAAACAGGACCAAATAAAGGAAAGCGGGTATAGCTAGAAAGAAGAAAAAAAGCACTTTCTGAAAAGCAAATGTCTGCTTTGAGATTGTTTCATTTCTCTACAGGAATTCCCGAATTTCTAAGTAGTCATTTGTGCATGATACTGTAGAGAGAACTGAAACATGTGAGCATGGAAGTCCTAACTAATAATAATGATGTACAGTACTGTGATGGCCACTGTTTAACAATCGCCAGTAGTGCCAGTACAATGCCAACAGTTTTTAGAAAATCCCCCGAAATGCTTCTGTGCTCTACAAGTTGATTTTCATTTCTCACAACAAATTATAAAGCAAAGATTTATAGTAGCCAAGTTCCTAATAGTCTGCCAATATTCCCTTTCCTCTTATTCCTTTTAGTAATGAACTCCCCCAACTTCAGCTACACTAGCCCAGCTGCCCAGGCAGTTTCCTTACAGAGAGGTGTAACCATGTTAGCAATTATAGATCAGTAAAATGTGAGCAGAAGAAATTTGGTAAGGCTGTTGGAAGATGCTTACCCCAGGTGTGCTTACTCCTCACAAACGGGAGAGCTAATGACTGGACCATC